ATCAGCACATACAAGAGCTGGCAGGGAGCCCAGCTGGAAAGGGCCAGAAATGCTTTCTACCTGCTTGGCTCATCACGATCATCCATGGCTTACTGCCCTGAGCCACAGGCTGCAGACTGGTTACCAACAGCTCCCTCAGTTTCTATTCCCCAGACACATTATTCCTTTCATTTTCCAGAGTTTTCTCTGTGACTATAAATAGCTTTGTGAGGGAGTTGCCAGCCCTCATGGAAGAAGAGTCAATGATCTCTTCCTGAAGGAAGTGGCCAGGACACCAGAAGGATCCTTCTAAGCCAAGTGTAAATCATACAATGTGCCCAGGAGGAAACTGAGGCAGGGAGGGCAGAGGAAGCTGTGAGGAGCAGGGCTCCGAGCGCTTTGTGGAGGGAATACAGCTGCTGCCATTACTTAATTAATGCTTGGTGAGGGGCTGCCATTGATGGGGATCCATGGTGGTCCTGTCTGAGCACTGCTGAGCCACAGGCTTGCCACAAAACCAGGCAGCATGCTGTGAATGGCCAAGAGTCCTGTTGGGAGTCTACAAGAAATGTTTTAAGTGAGATGATTTACTACTTCTCATTTGGCAGCTCGGCACTGAAGATGGCTGCCATCCCCTCCAGCCAACCAGAAGTCTGCATTCCAGAAATAAAGTCTTGTTCTAAAAAAACTGTCCTTGTCCCACAGGTGAAGGTACCCACAGGGTAGACTGGAGGTCTGCAGAAAGATCTGCATCCAGCATCTTTACACTTGGCTGGTGTTAGGAGCTGCTGATCCTGCAGTGGCAGGGGTTTTACCCTTCCACAGACCCTCTCCTCCACACAGGACAGACACAGCTGAGATGACACACTTTTCTCTTGATATTCCCTAATTGGCTTGATTTGTCCATATTAAACATTTACCATCCACAGTCAGTGCCTTCATTAGCTATGACACATCGTGTTTAACCACACAGCAATATTGCATCAATGCCAGGGCCAGCAACAAACATTCAGGAAACTTCTGCACAAGGATAATACAGAGACCATAAAAAAATCTGGGCCTGAATTAAAACTTAAAAGAAGCCTGGAAATACTTCGGAGTTGGGAGAAGACCTCAGACAAGTGTGCACATGACCACACAGCCTTCATCCCTGCCTCCTTTATTTACACACAGCATAATGGCTTGCCGGTGGACCTGGGCACTTGCAGAGAGGAATGAACACTCATTTGGTTCGCAAGCCACAGTATAATTAATTCCCAGAAAAGCTTCTGGGCTTCAGTCTCTGGCTGTGGAAGTTCAAGGTGCTACCCAGAGTTAACCAGATGCCTCTCCTGCAAGCCCAGGGTGCTCAGTCCCACCGGCACAGGGCAAAGAGTGGGTCTTCCAGGACCAGGGAGAAAGCAGGCAGGTGGGAAAGGAACACCATTTCAGCAATGACAGAAAAAGCAAGATGAGGAGCATGCCGGGGTCCCTGCTACCCCCAGCCCCACAATGAAGAAGCCTCAGACCCGTCACCCCCAGGGTTTTTCCCTGAGCATTTCCTCAGCCTCCTTTCAGAAGGATGGACACAATTTCTCTGAAGGCAGTTTTTGAAGGCAATGTTTGCCATCTAGTGGGAAAACAGAGTCTCACCCGCAGAAGGATGCGGCTTGTGGTTCTTTTGGCAGTAGCTGGGAGCCACACGCCCCCTTGCCCATAGCTGGGCAAGGAGTCCCAGCTGGGAGTTCCGAGGAGGAGGAAAATTGGAATAGGTGGTGCTGGTTAAGCTTCCTCCAGGCAGCTTGCCAGGCTCCTTGCCGCCAGCCTAGATGCCTGCCCGAGTGTGGATCTCTAGCCCAAGCCCTTGGAGAGGATTCCTGGCTGAGCTGCTGCCCAGTGTAAGTGGGGAGCTGAAAGAAGTGCCCTGCAGTAGGGGGAAAAGCACCATGTTCTGGATAAATGGTGCCTTTCAGATCAGCAAACCCCTGGGGATTGGTGCCTTCCAGATTGGCAACCTCACAGGCATCTCTTCCAGGTTAGTCTTCTCCTGGGGATCAGTGCCCTCCAGACTGGCATCTTCAGCACTCCACTGGCAATCAGCACCTTGCAAGTCAGCATCCTCTCTGGCATCAGTGCCTTCCAAGTCAGCATATTTCTAGTGATCAGTACTTTCCAGGTTAGCTTTCCCCTGGGAATCAGTCCCTTTAAGACCTGCAGATTATCCTGGGGATCAGCCATCATCCCAGGAGGGGATCTCAGACAGATCAGACACTTTTGGCACCTTACGACCTCAGGATCCATCAGCAAAGAGGTGACTATGCTGGTGCCAGTGCCTAGAATTCGTGTGGAGCTCAGCTGCTCCCACATCTGGTGGATCTCCCAGTGGAGAACAAAGGATGGGAGTTACTTGAATGTGATGTGACCCTGCAAAGAACACATGAGATTCCCAGATGCACATTTAACTGGGGTCCATCATATTCAGGATGTAAAGGCACAGCTGTGCAGAGCTCTGTCTGCCCAGTGCCTGCTCCATGGAATCCTGGAAACATGGGGAGCACTGGAGTGCCCCAGCTGGTTCAGAAGTTTCTGCAGAGGTCTGGGCCATGCTGTCCATAACCTCTACTTGCTTATTCTGCTCATACTGACACAGCAGCTGATGTGGCAGTGAATGAAGGGAGGGAAAAGGTGCAGCTGGTGGAAGGAGAGCAGGTAGAGAGGTTGCCCAGGGAAGCTCCCAAAGTGTGTCCTGCTCGGTTTTAGTCCTTGCAGCTGGAGGAGAAGGAGTTCCTGACTTTGTAAAGGGAGGAGATCATCTCCTCTGAGAAAGTAACATGGCAGTACTAAGGAGGTGTAGTCCTCAGAAATGTGTGCATGGGGAGCACACAGCACATGTCCTCTAGTGCCACCACATTGAAGGGAAGGAATATAAAATATTAGGAACTTTTTGCTTGGACAACAGGACTGTTCCCAGAGCTAAAAAAAAAAAAAAAAAAAAAAAAAAAAAAAAAAAAAAANAAAAAAAAAAAAAAAAAAAAAAAAAAAAAAAAAAAAAAAAAAAAAAAAAAAAAAAAAAAAAAAAAAAAAAAAAAAAAAAAAAAAAAAGAGGAAAATGAAAAAGCTAGCGGGAAAATTGTGGGCTACTGCTGCTGGGTCTTGGAGTGGGGAGCAGCCATTTCCCAAGAGCATCATAAGCAGCAGTGTTTGGGCAGAGCTGTGCTGTTGGCTTTTGCCTCCCAGTGTCTCTGTGGCCAGGTGCTCAGCATTTTCCATCTGTGAAACACCAAAAGCATCCTAGAGGCAAGGAAGGGGCCAGCCCCATCAAGCAAAAAAAGAAACAACCCATTTCTGGAGGGAGAAGCTGACAATGCAGCAGCAAGACATAGCTCAGGCCTCTCCCTTCTCCACATCTGGCCTGGCAGGTAATGTCTCTTCTGTTTCGGGAAAGAAGAGCAAGGAGTGTTCAGGCCTGTGGCAGCTAGAAAGGGAGGCAGATGAAGAAAAGGGAGTATGGAGGATTGCAGGGGTCTCTAATGGGTTGAGTCTTGTACCTCTAGCAAGTCCCCAGGCACAGGTATCCAACATGGAGGTGAGAGGAAGGCCATGGTCAGGGTGAATGCTCAGCACTACATTTTTAAAGCATTCATGTTTGGATTCACTGTGTCTCTAGGCATAGTCCTTGCTGTTCCTACTCTCTCAGTGTCTGGCCAGTGTGAGATGGAACCAGCTCCTGAGGAGGATGCAATCCCTCTGGAGATGGTCCACATTCTTCCCAGCACTATCAGGACCTGAACTGGTGACAGTTCAGGCTCTGTCTCATCATGTCAGCCGTGATGCCATTTATATGAGGACTGGGTACATAGGTCACACTCTAGACTTGTTCCCAAACACAGTCCTTGCTCTCTGTCCATGGGCCTCTCATCCCTCTTCACAAGTCAGCCCCCGCAGAGTGAGCATCTTTGATGCTTAGGATGGTAACTGAGTGTTCAAACTACCTACCCATACATTCATCTATAAATTAATCTGTCCCTTCCTCCCTCTGACAACTGATCCACATATCCGTATATACACCTGCATGTCTCCTTCTTTCAATCCATGCATCCTCCTTCCCTCCCTGCTGAACCACTGACTGTATGCGCTCTTTGTTCTCTGCATCATCTTGTGGCACATATAGATAGATGCCTGTTTCATGGCTATTCTGCTCAAGCTGCTTTTACTTCTTTCTTTGGCTCAGGATTTGGCACAGAAGGAAGCAGAAGCAGCCATGAGAGGTAAGTTGAGACTGTTTTGCTTGACAGTCCTGTGCAACTCGCCTCCTCCCCTGCAAAATGTGGGCTGATCCTGGCAGCGAGGCAGGGAGAGGAAGAGGCTAATCCTGAGGACTAGCTCAGAAATTTGGCAGGGTTGATGGCAGTCAAACAGCCCAGGCAGTGCTGCACAACTGCCCACAACCAGTGCCCTGCTCCAAAGGTTTTTGCCAAAAGCCACGGATTTCCCAAACAAGCCCCTGCCTGAGACATGATCTGGTCATCCTGTGCTGGATGGAGACAATGGATATGGATGTCTCTCTGTCTCAGTGCTGGGAACCTTCCCTGGTGCATAGCATTGGCTGATGGAAAATTTTCAAACCAAGTATATTCCAGGCCATGTTCTCCTGCACTTTTTTTCCTGCTGGGCTTGGGCTGGTCCCTGTTCCATACCAGGAAGCTGGACCCATCCCTACCTCATGTGGATGAAGTCCATGGGCTGTTTTGACCTGGCACATTCTCAGCATCTCTGGGCCTGGCTTGTACCAGCTCCCCTGGCAATCTTGGCACAGCATCCACCCTGGGGTGGGTGGGATGTGGCAGCAAAGGCAACTTTGGATGTGCCTGTGCCTACTTGGGGCAGGGTGTATGCAGGCAGAGCATCTGCACGAGCCACCAGAGAGCTCAAGCCTGGAGGAAGTGCCCTGGCCCCACAGTGGGACAGGAAGGTACTGGCACTGGGACTGGTCCCATGGTCCCTTCCTGTTTTTCTTCTTCACAGCTTGAAGACAAAGTTGATTTTGGCATCTGGATCCCTCTCCTTTATTCCAGATTGCTGCTCACCCCAGCCCTCCCTTGCATCTTCTCAGTCCACTGGAAAGCCCTGTTTGCCTACATCCAGCACCAGTGCATCCTCCCCTTTGGCAACGGGGAGAGCAGCACTCAGCACCAGGCATCTTTATTTCCCGAAACACAGAAATTGCTGCTTCCTTTGGGTCCCCAAGGCCTGTGTGTCACATTTACAGGCTGCTGGGGCAGGGAGCTGAGCCATGGGGCATCCCAGCAAGAAGCTGCAGTGCAGGCAGGCAGGACTTTGTGGTGGCATGCAGATGCCCTGCCTGCTCTTGGTATCTCCAGCTGCAAAATGGATGGCAGGTCATGGCACCTTACATCAGAGAGGAAAGGGGTCACCCTCCAGAGCCATGGGCAGCAGGATGCAGTGATGAAGACCAGATGTGCCCTCAAGCTGCCCCGGTCATCAGAACTGGGTGTCCCTACTGCATGGCCAGGCAACCACAGCTAAGGAAGGGGACATGGGGCTTGGCACATGGGGAAAACAGATCTATGGGTTCCCCAGACAGCAGCAACAAACTTCTATTCGGAGTATGCATGGACTTTCTGGAGTTTAAAAGCACACAGAATACAGGGGCCAGAGCTGCTGTCTCCCATTTTCTAGCTGCTGTGCTGCTACATCTCAAGCAGGCATCAGTCTCTAAACCAGCACCAGATGCTGGGAAATTACTAAGTTGTTTGCAAACACTGGAGCCACAGCTATGGGATGTACATCACCTCTGTTCCACAGCATCTCTGCACAACCACTACTTTGATCCCTTCCATAGTGGCAGAGGAGTGGGATCTGGTAGTGATAAGAGGACGTTTCCAATGGTAAAGGCTGCCCAAGCCACGCTGGGGACTGAGAAAAGACAAGGGTGACTGTGTGACACATCAGAATGTGTGTTTGGTTGGGTTGGGTGCTGGGGACCACACCACAGAGGATGATGGCAGTGTGATGTAGCTGGAGCTGTCAGGCTATGGGATACACCTAGGAGAGGTGATGTGACTGCTGAGCCTGGAAGTCCAGGCAAGAACTGGCTCCTTACAACTCCCCAGGTTGGTGACCTGCCTTACCTTCCCTGTGGAGAGCTCTGCTCTGGTCCAGGGATAGTGCCATGCACACTGCACACTGCAGATAGAGGGCTGACCTCCATCTCTCTCAGCATGTCTGTGCTCATGAGGGACAGTGAGGGGCTGCAACCCCACAGAGCCAAGCATGGAGAGCCCTCATGAGCCCACAGCCAGGGCACCCAGTGAGAGCAGCAGGGAGCCTGTGGGCACACAACACATTGCAAAACGCATAGCCTGTTCCAGCTCCCTCCAACCCAGTCCATACAAGGACCCTTTGTGGTTGGCCCAGTCCAGGCTCCCTCTGCATCGTGGGTTCACAGGCAGCCCCAGGACCCAGGTGGGTCCCCACTCAGCACTGGCTCTGCTCCCCCTGCTCCACGTGTTGCCGCTGTCTGAATTTCCACCCAGCTCCATCTGGATCTTGTTGGGCTGCTGGCACTGAACACCGGGATCTGGAGGTGCCAACACATGGAAGCCATTAGAGGGGCCGGGTTGAGGTGCGGCAAGGGGGCCACATGCAGAGCAAGGGGGGGCTGTGCAGAGGGTCCTGTCTCAGCTGTCATGCTGGTGAGGGCAGGGGAGATGTCCTACACAGCTGCCTGCCTGCATTCTCTTCTGGCACTTAGCCTCGGCATGGGTCTCTCTCAGCCCCTCCATGCATCTGGGGAGAGGGCTGAACAGTTTGGGAGGCAGCCCTGCTGCCTGTGCACCTCCTGCAAGGACCATTCCCAAGCTGGTGCTCACCCCTCCCTTGGCCCAGCATCATCTGCAAAGGGGTTTTGCCTGGACAGCGCCAATGATAGCATTGGCATATCCCCTTTATTGGCATCTCTGCTCTGTCCAGCCACAGCACGGGGGATTGGGGCAGAGGGAAGGGGCAGGGGGTGGGGCTGGCAGCTGGTGGGGGGTGACAGGCAGGGATCAGCACCCCTTGGTCTGGCACTGATGCCTGGCACCCCCGGGAGCCTACACCCATGGTCCCCCCAACACTAGGCAGTGAAGTGGGGCTGGCTCAGTGTCTTATCCCCATTTGTTTAGCAGCGCTCAGAGGTGGAGCTGGCCTGTCACCCTGAGCCTGAAGTGACTCCAGCTGGCTCCTGGTGGGCTCAGGCAGTCCAACGCTCCTGAGAGCAGAGCCTCTCTCCTTAGGATCCATCCTGCAACCCCAGGGTGTTGGGGGCTCCGGCAATGTCCACAGCTGTGGGGTGACCCAGGAGGTGTGGGGCCCTTGGGGGCCAGCAGTGGCATCAAGTCCCATGCGTGGGCAAGCAGGTGCATGGAGCAGGGACTGGCCAGGGCTCACTACAGGATCTGAGCTTCTGCTGAGAGAGAGGACAGGGGGTCAAGGGGGACAGTGGAGTCACTGACCTGCCCCATGCTCTGCATTCCCTGTCCCACATTCCCCCGCCCCATTCTCCATCCTGCACCCCAACTCACTTGGTAATGCCCTCAAGTGGGTGGCAGCAACCAAAAAGCTGGGTTTAGTCTTGTCCTTGCCATGTTTCCTCACCCGGAGCCTGGGGATGAGAGCAATGGCAGCTGAAGACCCCAAAAAGCCTTCCTGAGCATCAGGATTGCCCAGATTCCCAGTGATCCTGATGTGTTTCCATCCAGTTGTGCCCAACTGCGCCCAGCTCACCTTAACCTCTCCAGTGGGCCAGCTCCAGGGCTACAGCAGGAACTGGTCACCAGACAGAACAGGATTGGGATGGGAAGGGATTGAGAGCAGAGCCAGAGCATGGCAGGGAGATCCCATGGCGGCGGGATGAGAAGGGAACTGGGGACAGGATTCCCAGGGAGCAAAGGCACAGGGATGGGATGTTTGTGCTGACTCTGGAGTGTGAGACTCTCCAGCAGGAGCCTTTGGGAGGCTATTAGAAGGAGCAGCATCTTGAGGACTTTCAGAAAAAGGTCCCTTGGATCTGGGGCCATCAGAAAGAGCCCAGGCAGGCTGGGTAGTAATGGGTGTGCTGGGAAGAGGCACTGGTGTGGCACAGGGGCAAAGGGAGCATAAACCACCCTACAGGGCAGCAAGTGTGTTTTGGCACGGACCTCAGAGTAGGGCTGGGGGATCACAGGGCAATCCATGCTAAGGGTTCAGGATGGGTTGGAGACAGCAATCATACAACCCCTCCTTTTCCAAACCCAGCCTACCAGATGAGGATGGTGATGACAAGAACAGCAGCCAGGATGAAGAAGGCAAAGATCCCAAGGGACACCAGGACAGCCATCTTCTCCAAGGGGTCACTGTGATCTGGGACAGAGAGACTTTCAATGCTGAGGGATGTCACAGTCCCCAGCACCTGGGGGACGCTATGGCAAGCTCCTGGACTCTCCAACAGCCCAGCCAAACATGGACTTGGGGCAAGAGACCCTTCCCATTGCTCTCAGCAGCACACATGGCACACCACCCCTAGCTCTACTCACTGATGGGCTCAGGGTTGGGAGCCTGGGAAGACTCCTCAGCCAGGCTCTCCAGTCTGGCATCTGTAGTGGTTTCTTCACTTGCTGTGAAGGCCAGGTCTGGAAGAACAGAAGGGATGGAAACACTCACCAAAAGCATATACAGCACCCCAAGGATCTACAGAGAGGAGTATGGAAGGATGTCTTTGTGCCCCAGAGGTCCCATGAGCCCAAGAGTGCCATTGAGGTGCTAATGGTACTTTGGAAGCACTGCTCTGTCCCAGGCCTGTGGGGTCAATCCCCAAATGGCACCAGCACAGCTGCAGACTGACATGGGCTGGGAGATGTTTTGTCCTCCTGCAGTTCTGCCTCCCTACCTTAAGTGGCCCTGCAGTTGACACTCTGGTTGATATTTGGGGGAATGAGTGCCATGGGGAAGGTACTGAAGAGGAGAAGTTCAGAGTTCTGGAGGGACTTTGGGGAGGGATGGCACAACGCGGTAGGCTGCTGGGGGCTGCAGCCTGTCCCTCTCTCACCTCTGACTGGTGTTGCCCGGGCTTCAGCACTCCACTCGCTCCAATTCCCTGCATCCAGGAAATCCTTGGCACTGACTTGGACCACGTGCTCCAGCCCAGCAAAGGCATCCGTGATAACCTCAGACAGATTCACCGTCTCTACCTGTGCCAGGCAGAGGGGAGCTGTGGGGCAGGCAGGGGCACCTCTCCCTGGCCCCGTGCACACCCCACTCCTGTGCTGGCCCTGCACACTTACCACGGACCAGGAACGGTGGATGATGGGTCGGTACTGGAGCCGAAACCTTAGCTGGAAGTGGGGTTCCTTTGGCCAGGAGGAAGGGTACTTCCAGCTCACATGGAGTCGCCGTGGGGCTAGGGGGATGGGCTCCACCACCAAGTCCTCTGGAGGGTCTGGCTTAACTGTGTGGGAAAGGACAGGAAGGCCTTGTCACTCCGCACTGCTGTGCACAGGCGTGTAGGGTTCCCTGCTGTCACCCACAGGTAACTGCCCAGGGATGGACAAATGGTGGGACAGACAGATGGATGGGGACTCACTGATGGCCTGCATGGTGACATCAAGAAGGCGGTAGCTGAAGCCCAGGGGGTTCACCTCAGTGATGTTCAGGCGGTAGGAGCTCCAGAACTCTGACCTGTGGACCGTGCAGGTGCCGGGGCGGGATGGATCCTGCAGGCACAGCCCCACGTGCCCGTTCCTGTTCCTGCAAACAGGGAGGCAGGCTGGTGGCACGTCCTACCCACCTACCATGCACAGATTCCAAATGCTGCCAAGGAGATGCTATGGAAGACCCTCATGCCAAGACCCTGGTGGAGGAGGCAGACCCTGGAGGAGGAGTGCTCAGCTGCACTCACCCTTCCAGAGTCTGGCATATCCCTCTGAGCATGACACAAGGGACCCTCATCCCATCTCCACACTCTGCCTGGGAAGGTCCCTCCCTGAGGCAAACCCTCCTCCCAGACTCCCAGGGTATCTGGGAAGTAGCTGGCTCCCAGATGGGAGCCCAGCTCTTGCTTTGAGGTCCCTGCTGAACACAGCAGCAGGGCCTTTGGGAGGGGGCCAATCTCTAGGGAGCAGGAACAGGGTGGGAGTCAGTCCTACCTCCTCTTTTCTTCGCCTGTCAGGGATTTCTTCCTGCCACGGAGACACATGGAAAAGCAGATGATTAGGATGAGGGGGCAGCACAAAGTGAACCCCACCATGACCCAGAAGAGGGATAGGAGTCCACACTGCAAAGCAGCCTCAGACTCCCAGGCTGACATACACATGTGACAGCATGGGGCAAAGAACTAAAACCATGTCTAGTGAACAGTCTGGCAGCAGAGGCTGGCGATCGCAGGGAAAAGAAATGGGACACCCTTCCCTGCCCAGGATTTCATCACACAGAAGCAAAAACACTGATAAAAGCAGCTCCCTGGAGCCTGGCTTCACCCTCCCACTAAAGACTGCCAAATCCCATGCTTGCACTCCCCCTCCCTCTGGATCCCCTGATGCTCCACTCAGCCCCTTTTCCACCAAGCCCTTGGCTCCTACAGCTTTCAGCAGGGCTGTGCTTTATGAGCTCCATAGGACTTCAAAGCCGCCCGCTAATTTGGCTTGCAGGGATAATTAGAAGCAGCAATGCTGTCAGGGCTCCTTTCATCCCAAAGCATGCCAGAGCGTGGAGGCTTGCAGATGACCTGCTTCTCTTTTATTGTCCCTCTGGTGCTGGCAGAGCTGTCAGCAGAGAGGGAGCCTGTCCGTGCCAGCACCCCAAGTGCTGCTGAGACCCCCAATGAGAGCAGGCAAATGCTTGGTGCTCTGCTCACCCCAAAACAGGACCTGCTCTGGGGTGCAGCATGGTCCTTGGGGCAGGAGGTGAACCCAGGGCGTGTGTGGGGTGGCCAGATGGATTCGTTGGTTATCCTTGGCTGTGACCCAGAGCTCACACCATAACAAGGCTGATCTGTGTCCTGTGGAGATACTTCACCTGTATGTGGTGATGTATCTGGTGGGGAGGAAGGTCTCCACACTGGAGGTCCAGGAGCAAGAGAAATTCTCATAATCAGATGCTCTGCAGGACACAAAGGGAACTCCAGGCAGGTCTGGGGTCCAGGGGAAACAGCAGTCAGCAAGGAGTCCGTCCTCCCACAGCCCATCCACCACACAGGGATGCCTGTGTCAACACCAAGCCCCCATTTGGCAAGTCCCTGGCAGGACTGGGGGCACCACACTCCCTCCAGAACAGCCCAGCTCACAGACATGCTACTCACGCCCCAGACGCAGGGACACAGTGTGCAGGAGGCCACCATCCTCGCCATGGCAGCTGTATGCTCCCACGAAGGCCAGGCTGGCGCTCGGCAGCACCAGGGATCCCTGCTGGATGGCTGAGCCCTCTGGCAGTGCCGTGGCCCCGGCTCGTCTCCACCGCACTGGTGAGCTGAGGGGGAGAGACCAGGCAGGCTCCGTGAGAGGACAGGAATGCCCAGGCCCACCCTGCAAACCATCCCATTGGATAGATCCCTTGATGTGCACGGGAAAGACTTACCTGGCATGGAAACCAGGGCATGGTAGGGTCACATCTGTCCCCAGCTGTCCATACTGCACGCCTGGAGGGACGCACATCCCCAGATCGGTGTTAGCACTCCATACCACCCCACACCAAGCCTGGGGGTGCAGGTGGGGAGCCCCTGGGGCTGTATCCCGCAGTGGGAACTGGCTATGGGGTCTTGCTTCATGCAGGTACCACCACAGGGGACTACTAAGGACTCATCCCAGCTGGGGCTGTGCAATGAGCAGAAACACAGGCTGGCCATCACTGTAGGATGTAGGGCTGTGTTTCATGTAGCCTTGGTAGGTCTGCTCCTGTCTGGGGGAAATGGGGTGCCCTCAGGGTCTTCATGCCTGGGACATGGGGAGCAGTACTGTATGGGGGTGCTTGGAGGGGGTCTCACCTTCCTCTTCCCAGTCTTCAGGAATGGCAAAGGAGGCTGATGCCAGGGCTGCTGCAAGGAACACCATCACCCTGCCCAGGCCTGGGATGGAACTGCGCATCTGGATGGGACAGATAAGGAGAGGAGAGTGTTATTCCCTGCAATGGGGCAGCTGATACAGTCCAAAGCCCACAGTATTCCTGCAGGGCCTTGGATCCCGCATCTCCCTCTCATCTCATCCCATCCTGCTGGGGATGGAACAGGGACTGAATCCCAGGACCCCAGCTGGGACATCTGGCATTGTCTGTGCCACAGTCACAGCTGGTTCCTGGCTGCTGAGCAGTCCCCAAGCCTGGAGTGGGGATGCAGGGGGCAAACACTGAGCAGGAGCTTAGGGCTGTGTGGGTTGGTGGGATTAAGGGTTCTTTGCCATTGCAGTCCTGTGCTGGGAGCCTTGGCTGGCTCCCAACCCCAGGGTGGTCCAGAGACCTGTGCATGTGCAGCTGGGGTGGGAAGGGACCAAGGAGATCTGTATTTACATAGCAGGTGACAGCAATCAGATCTAAACAGGCTCACATAGCCAGGGAGAACAGGGCTGTGATAGTTCAAGTGGTACCAAGTCTCACATCACTGTCCATGCCAGCATCCACTGTGAGGCTAGTCCAGGTAAGTCTCTGTTTGTGGGAGAAGGGCACTGAGATCTCTTCCTCACGCTCAGTGACCACCAGTGAGAGGGGCAGGGGATGCAGGGTCAGGGATCTGCACCCTTTTCATCCCAACATACACCACTGTGGGCACATCAGCCAGTGCCATCCTGAATCCCAGGGGGGTTCCATGTTGCCCTGTCCTGCCCTACCACCATCACCCTGTCCATCACAGCCAGCAGTGCTTTATGATATCCATCCCATCCAGCACTCTTTCTGTGCCAGCCAGCACTACCCTAAAGCATCTGGACCCACCTGCAGAGTCCTGCATCAGCAGGACATATGAGCCAGTGTCACTCTGTCCATCCCAGCCCCGTCTGTCTGTGCCAGCAAGCATCACCCCAGGGCACCCGTCCTGGCCAGCATCACACTATCCCTAACAGGTGTGCCACATGGTCTCTGTCAGTCAGAAATGAAAGATTTCTCCCTAGAAGGCTCCCCTGCCCATCCCTCACAGCTGGACAGGCCTGTTTATTTACACTCACACTGTTGGGCTCTGCTCCCAACTGCAGGCAGGGGTTGAGGGCACATAAGGCAGTGAGCTCCTGCCAGCCCCAAGAGCAGGCATAAATCTGTAGGCATAAATCTGTGTCCCCCTGGGTTGAACAGCTGAGAGACTGGAGGGAGGGATGCTCCAGCCCACCCCAGAGCAGCAGCCAGTTCCCCTCCTGTGGCCAACTGCCCATGGCCACAGACCAAACCGCCTGGCGAAGGAAGCAAGAGCTACAAGGCAATCTGCTGCAGGGGGGAATGCATGCGGCACCCCACATCAACCCTGTTCTGAGCATGCCAGGCAGCCTCAAACACAAGCCCCAAATGTAAATAATTTCATGAGACTGTCATAATCTTTTCCTACCAAACCACCCTAGAAATGTTCCCAAGAAATCAGTCAAAAGGTCTCTGCCAGAACTATGCTGGTAAGTAACTGGGAACATTTGGCCTGAAAGTAAAATATTTTGGTGATGGGGAAAAAAAAAAAAAAAAGAAGAAGACAAAAATGAGTGTATTTTTTCTTAAAAGCAGCAACCAAAAATAACTCCAAAAACCATGTGGGCTAGAGTGAAGGAATAGTTCTGGGGGAAGGAGGAAGGGGAGTGGGTGTATGTGTGTTTGTCAGGAAGAAGGGAGAGCGTGTTAATATATATAGAGAAAAATAGCTTTAAAATAAAATAATTTTTTCTTATGAACACCCTGGTTTTTCATTCAAACACTGCAGAGGGTATCCATAATGACCGTAGTGGTTAAGTCTGATTAGGGACCACTAACCTAGACCCTAACCCTAGTGGTCCCTAACTATAACCCTAAACCTAACCCTAAGACAGCTCATCCTGATGGCCAGTCCTCATCTTCCACCCTTCATCACTGTTTGTCCCAGGGTCCTCCCAGAGTTCCCCATCCTCAGCCCAGCACCCCAAGAGCTCCCCTGCCTCAGAGGGGCCCCTCTGCCAGCACGGTGTGAGAAGGCAGCACTGAGCCCTCCAGACATGCTGACTCAGTAAATGACCCACGCGAGCACTGCCAAAAATTATCCCTGGGGACACAGAATCAGTGCAGAGAGAAGCAGCAGGGCAAGCCCTTCCTTGCCTGCCCAAAGGCCAAAAATAAACGGGGAAAGAGCCACAGAGCCCAGGAAGACCCAGAGCCCTCATCTGCCCCAGGTTCAGAAGCAGGGCAGGGGGCCAGGTGCTACAAGACAGCCTGCCCAGAAAAGTTCTGGGCTTATTTTCTGCCACGAAACTCCCTGGCCAAGGGAAAAACAGGCATGCAAATGAACACAAGCATGTGAGTAGCCAGGTCTACCTTCTTTGGTGTCTCCACACCCCCACAGATGGGCACACAGGCAGAGAAAACATCCCTTGATGCTTGCACCAGCAGTGACACATTCTGGGGACACAGAGTCCCGGCACAGTGGTCCTGGAGCCGAGCCGGGACAGAGGGAACAATCCGAGCTTTTCTTCCTCCCTTCACGCTAATCCTGGCCAGAGAGATGCCTGCCACCAGCCCAGGGCTGGGTGACATCCCGTTGCCACAGCCAGTGTAGAGGTACCCAGCTCAGCCTGGGGACATGGTGCTGGTGGGAAGGGCAGCAGTGCTGGACCCTGCTCCCTCAGCATGGGATGCTCTTGTCACTGGCATGGCCACAGTGACCAGGCAGCCTCTGGCACCCGTGGATGTGAGCCAGAAACACAAGGTTTCACTCTCCATACCTCCCTGATCCTGCTGTTCTGCTGGGACACCATTTGAGCTCATGCAAATGGTTTTGGGTAGTGGTGGGAAGAAATCCTGACATAAGCCCCTTCCTGCATGCAAACTGAAGTGCTGAAAGCCAAAACTTCCCTCAAAATCATGGCCATATGCACCGGCACCAATGCCCATGTTGGGTGTGACAGTTCCCTTGGCATAGCTGATCTGTGCCATGCCCTGCTGTGGACTAGCAAAGCCCAGCACAAATTCCTGGGGGAAGACAACTTTCCATTGTGCTCAGTGCTTTGAAAGACATTGGGTTTTGTTTCCTTAAGAATTTTTTTTTTTTTTTTTTTTTTTTTGCTTCATTTGAAGTTGGTCTTCAAAGCAAATGGGCTACACACAGAGCTGGGGTGATTGGGACAGGGACAGAAGCAGATGACACTGTGCCTCAAGGCTGCAGATGGCAGCATGGAGACTTGGGATGCTCCCCACTGAGCACAGGAAGCTGGGGTGCCTCTTATCCTCTTCTTAAGGTGGTCGGGGGCAGCATTGCTGCAAGAGAGATATGGCAAATAACCCAAGAGCACTTGGCAGCTCTGCCTATTCTGTGCCAGGCCTTGATGGCAGTCACCCACCTACAAAAAGCAATGGGCAGAGGCCCAAAGCTGGCTCTAATGACCCAGAGATAGCACCACTCTGAGTATCCCCTGAGCTGGGGGAGCATCTCTCTGCCCCTCTGTTACAAACTCTCCTCTCTGCCAGTGATTGCTGTGGGAAGAGTGTCCTATGCTGAAATGCAGAATTACTGCAGGAATTGTTCCCCTGTGGGGAAATGTGCCTCTGGACCTATGCCTTCCTAATCTCCCTGCACCTGACAAGCCTGCAGAAGCACCATGCCTCACTCTGAGGAGCCATGGCATGGTCTGGGTACATCCCTGTGGCTGCTGATCTGCCCAGGGCCCTGGAATCACCCCATCCCTGCAGCACTGTTGACTTCCATCATGACTGCATGAATGTGTGCCTGTGAGGGGAGCATCAGCCCCACTGCTGGATGATCTCCTGCAACAGCCACCCCTGTCCCCCAAATGCTGCTGGCACCTTCCCAGGTGTCTAGAAAAAGCCCAGCAGTGGTTGCTGGAGGGAAGCATGTCCCCCACCACCACCAGGGCCACCAGAGCCATGCATAATCTCCAGGACTACCAGCAAGCATCTGAGGCAATACCTTGCCCACCTTGGGCACTGTGGGGGTGATGGTCTGAGCATGTCCTCAGTCCCCCACCCCAGTGCCTTGGGGATGTCAAAAAAGACTGTTTACCTCTGCACCACTTTGGTGGGGTGCATGGGCTCCTATGCTTGCTGCAGGGGCAGGGGTACCATGCATGCTGGGCTGTGCCAGAACACACACAGGCATAGATGCAGCCAGTGCAATCCCAGTGCACAGGAATTACCCCAGTTAAACCATCAAAACCAGTTGGAGTCTTGTCCTGTGAGGCCAGTGCAGTCCCATAAGACCTGTGCACAGTCTGAACATAGGACTAAGCCCAGTACAGTCCTTGCAGGGCTTAGCTCAGGACAACCCAAATATTGGATTATATCCCACAGCCCATAAGGAGAATTAAATTCCACCCAGCCCAGGAGGACAATTAAATCCAGTGCAGTCTAAATGTGTGGTTAAACTCAGCCCAGCCCAGGAGTGGGGCTAAACCCAGCTCAGCCAAAATGTAAGGCTGGACATAGCACAGGTCATACACATTGTTATGCCATGCTAATGTGAGGTTAAATTCAGCACAGCTCAGGAGTGGGGTTAACTCACAGCTCAGCTCAAACATAGCGTTAACCTCAGCACAGCCCAGTCACAGGGTTACACAGTTCAAATGTGGGGCTAAACCAAAAGCAACCCTGGCATAAGGTTAACCCCAGCTCAGCCCAAACACAGTAATAACCCCAGGATTGTCCAGGGAACCAGTTTTCTCCACAGGCAGATACAATGCACATCTCCATCCAAACTAGACCAGCCCCCTGGTGATACTCAGCTGACTGCAGCCCCACTGGTGTCCAAAGCCAAGCCCAAACCCCTCTATATCCCACCTCTCTACTCGGTGGAGCCAGCAGCTGCCAGACGTTCCTGGTGTTTGGGGCTGGGGGGGCCCTACACACCCCAGCATGCCAGCAGCACCATGGAGGTCAGGCTCTGCTCCTACCCCAGCTGGGAAAATCTCACCCCAATGCC